CTCCGGGTTCAACTGTCCCCCTCTTACAATGCTGTGATTTCTAGTATCACTCAGCCCCCTGTGAACAGTAAACAGCCATCAGTGTGCTAATGATCCATTGTTAGGCCGATGGTCCTTCTTGACCATGTGATCAGCTGGTTTTGGTTGTCAGCAGCAAAACTGGTTGATCCACTCTGAGAAGGTGCTATTTAAGAGACTGAGCTGAATACAGCACCTCAGACTGAGGAAGTCTCTCGGATGAAAGACGAAACGTTTCTACGTTTTTTTGTTGTTTTGCTTTGTTTTGTTTTTTTGAATGTCCAGAGGACCAGATTGAACTTTTTTAGATTTTTCTACCTGGATTATTGAGCATGCATCAGGATAAAACTCAACAAGATTGACACTTAGCACAACTCAAAGAGTAGGTTGTAACCTGCCACATGGCACACATGTGCATCACTCCTCAAACAAACTTGTATGTGACATTCAAGGAACATACTAAAAAACGACAACAGCCAGTTTTAGTCTGCTTGAACTAGATTTTCTTGACCAAATATGAATTGTTTTTAAAACAATACATTTTTAAATGACAAAAGAGATTTTATTTTCCATATTTGTTCCACTTTTATCATTTAGACATTGCTTTTAAAGTTAAATGATATTACTATGAACTTAGTTTAATACTTAGTTTGTACTATAAAGCACAGTCCAAACTGGGTTACATCACTGACATTCATAATAATGGTAGTTTAGGTGTCCTCAACTTCCCTTGTTGTTGAGAACTGAAGCCAGCAGGACCCGGTTTACGGGGGCTGCCATGTTGTACTTTTGGAATCAGAGTCTGTGCACCAACAATGTCACACTGAGTCACAACCTTACTGTCAGGCATGAAGTAACTAAAATGATCAACAATACTGTTGTGACTTGTGACTTTTATAAAGGATTTCAAACCACTTTGGAGTGTCAAGTTCACAAAAATAGAAAAGTTTTATCATGTTCGATGTGAAGTTAGTGGGCTGAGAAAAGCCCAGGCAACAAAAAATAAAAGGCAAAAGCAGCAATCAAGTGTTGATAAAGCTGGTCCAATAAAGCTGCATTACTGCTTTACCATCCATGAAGGACACTGCATGAATTTCCACATTTGAGCCACAAGAAACTGACTATTCTGAATGTATCGATGCAGATATACTTTCTGTTGGAAAAAAAAAAATCTGGGTGGAGCTTGTAGGCAAAGAAAGGTGTGTTTAATAAGTTTGACCTGATTTTTTAAACTGTTCATGTGAAATGAATCTATTGAACAAAACCTTACTGTAAACACGCACACACCCACACACACACACCGCCTGACAGCTGACAACAACCAGATGGCACAGGGAGGCTGCAGCATGGATTTATGAGCGTGTATAGGCTGTGTGAGTGTGCTTGTGCTTTTACACTGAACGTGACATCAGATGATGTGTGTGTCTACAGAGCACAGGCTAGCATGAATGTGGTGTGAGGTGATGTGTGTGTGTGTATCTTTTATTCATGTTCACATACCAGCGAGGAAAGTGTGGAGGGGTCGAGTCTGTGCTAGGTGGTGCATGGTTTATGTCTGCAAACATCCTGCAGCGTCATCCTATATATGCATCAGTCTGGGCCCATTTTATGTATCTTTTTTGTTCTTCTTTCAGCTGCTCTCTTCTTCAGGGGTGTCCACTGTGAACTAATAACTCGCACGAAGACTTGGCGATTTTTTTTACGCCGGATGTCCTTCCTGACACAACCACAGACCACCGAGCTACCTCAACCCTCTGTGTGGAGCAGGGAGCTGCTATAGGGCACCCAGGGGAGCAGATCGTGAGGATTAACGGACTTGCTCAAGGGCCATCAAGGGCCAAGAGTGGAGCAAATGGAGGTGGAGGCAGATGTGGGTGTTTCATCTTCCGCACATTTTGATATTGTCAGTACGGGGAGTTGAACCAGCAACCTTCCTATCACAAGCCTATTTTCTGTATCAAACTTTTCTAAACTTCAATATTTTTGGGTGATTGCTTTAAAACAGCATGTCTGTGCGCTAATTTATCAACTTTTCGATGTTTCAGCCATTAGGTTTGGAAGTTTGTTTGTGTAGTGAAATAATTTTTAGCTCCCTGCATATACAAAGTACATCAACTAACTCTTCTTTGTACTATCTTCAAAGTTGCCAGGTCCTCTACTGAAGAAATTGTTCCTGGTAGATAAAATTGGTGGCTTCAGCTTCCATCTCTGCTCTGCAGTGCTTTAAATATTAGTATATTAAGTACTACTTACAAAGTAGTATTTAGATATTAGTATTTACCTCTGCTTCTTTTCAGTTATACCAGTAGATGTTAACAATTTGCAGTTAAATAAAACATACATGTGCTTATGGGAGTGGAGATCACCTTTGACTGACTAAAACTCTGTACCCACTCATCATAGTATGGATACAAGCTCTGTACACGACACCCCTACTAAATATTCTCCCAAAACAGTTAAAATTTCTTCTTTGATGTTGTTTACAGTTTGTGAGTCAATACAATTTTTCTGCTTAATCTTTGTATAATGGTGAAGATCAAGATAAAATGAGCCAGATGTAGAAAAAAGTAAAAAAAAAAAAAAAAAAAAAACCCTGCTCCTTTTGTTGTTTTGGCTTCTATGACACAAAAACAGTAATCATAGACATGTGAAATAGACTACACCATCCATCCATCCATCCATTATCTTTTACCTGCGTCTTCATCTTCGGGTTGCAGGGGTCACTGGTGTCCATGTCCAGCTATAACTGTGCGAGAGGCGGGGGACACTCTGGACAGGTCGCAAGTCCATCACAGGGACACACTCTCACTCACACCAAAGGGGAATTTTTAGTTGCTAGTTAGCTTAGCATACATGTTTTTCATCTGTGGGAGGGAGTACCCGGAGAGAGGACATGCAAACTCCCCCCTGAAGGGTCCCATGCCGGGATTTGAACCGGTAACCTTCTTGCTGAGAGGCAACAGCTCTACCAGCTGAGCTATTGTGCTGCTCTTAGACTACAGTACTTACTTCAAAAGTACTGTATTTTAAGTTCATGTCCATCCATCAGTTTTCTTTAAGCACACTTCCTTTGCTGTGGGGAGCTGGTGTCTGTCTCCAGCAGTCGCTGTGTGCGAGAGGTGGGGGACACCCTGGACAGGTCTCCAGTCCATCCCAGGGAGACACAGAGACAAACGAGACAAACAACCGTTCACTCTCTCACTCACACCTAGAGACAATTTAGAGTTACCAATCAGCCTAACATGTACAAAGTATGTTTTTGGTCTGTGGGAGGAAACTGGAGTACCTGGAGAAAACCCATGCTTGAATAGTAAGAACATGTAATCACCATACATAAAGAGTTTTGGGCAACACAATGGCTTAGTGGTTGCCTCACTGCAAGAAGATCCTGGGTTCAATCCCGTGTTTGCATGGGTTTTCTCCAGGTACTCTGTTTCCTCCCACAGTCCAAAACATGCATGTTAGATTGTCTTCAGGTCCAGGCATCCCTTGCAAAAGAGATCTGTGATTTCAGTGGGATTTGACTAGTTGAGTAAAGGTCAATAAAAATGGCAGGGATGCAAACCTTTGAATTTCTGCAGTGAGGTGACAATGCTAACACCCTGTCTGTGCCGCCATTTCTGTATATATCCATGTGGATATCCATGTGCCTATGTATGACTTCAGTGACATGTCAGTCATACATAAAAAATCTGCCCCCCTGTGCCATTGTCACAAGACTTCTTTTCTTCATTAACCATGTTCCCGTCAGAAAACATTTGCTAATTGTTGTGGTTTTAGGAACAAGCTAAAATGTTACACTTTCTTCAAGTAAGTATTGGCTCATATTAGAGTTAGGCCAGTACAGCTCATATGTACATGACCACATTGAGACAGCACACAAAACAGAAGCAGGGACAAGTGGTGAAGCTGAGGAAGGGGTTAAACGACCACTTGTAGATGTTGGTGCTGTTTCTACACCTTCAATTCGTCAATAAACCTTCAAAAAAAAGCACAATTTTCCTTTTATTGAAAACCAAAGCAGCTGAAAAGTGTTTATTTGTGACTCAAACAGTGTCAAGGTTGAGATAAGTTGGTGTTTGAACATTTCTGTAAATGCACTTCAGTGGAACGGTCCAACACACACGTTGGAGCACAGTATATGTTAAACAGCTGACAACTCAAACAAGTCTTAAACATTTCAAAGTGTGATTGTGCAACCAGCCTTTTCGGACATGTACTGTATCTGGAAATAGTCATCAGGCTCTCATATGTCTCGTGTTTAATTTGGTTGCTTCCTTGAAAAGAAAAACCCAACGCAGTGTCACAAGTTAGACAGGAAAGGCAGCATAGAAGAAACGTTTTCTGAGAAGGTAAAGAAGGAGACTGGTGGGGCTACATGCCAGCCTCAGTTCGTCTTTTTATTGTCCTCTGCTGGGCTCATTCTTACAAGCATTTGCAAGATTCTTCCCTCCTTCTTTTGTTTTCACTCCTTTCTTTGCAGACTCTTCTACAAAAGGTTCTTGCCTCTTACCACAGTTTTTTTTACAGTATCCAAATAGAAGAGGCAATCCTTCCCCTTCCGCTAGAAGTTTTTGCATAAAATACACAGTTGTAGTGCTGGTTGAAGAAGATCCACAGGTAAGACCAAGTGGTTTTGAGTTCAGTCAAAGCAAAATACACATGAATTAGTTAAAAAAAATACCACAGGTCTTAAGTTCCATTCTAAAGCCTACGTATGTACAGCACTCATGGCACGCATAGAAAAGGCACACGCCACAAAAATATTTGCTTTGGTTTGAACATTAGATACAGTCCTAGATTCTGCTACAGTCCTTCCTCACATCTTGGATGCAGAAGTTCAATGTGTACATTCTTTGGTTCGGAAATCCAAGCGTCCGGTATCTTCTCACCAAAAAGGGGTAATAGAAAAAATTTTTTTTAAAGAGGTATTTGGGATGTAGATAGCTGGAAATTCAAATAAATTTTTGTGAACCTTATCTAAGGTACAATCTCAAAGAATCTTCTTCTGTAGAATCGAAACAGCAAATTCCCTCCTCAGAAAAAAAATAAAAATCAGTTCACACATTTGCCATTGCACATCTCTGTAAAATCTCAACGGTTTGTTGTTTTCTCTTAATGGAAAGGAGGAAAGACAAATCCAATATTTATTTTTTTCCTTTCACCCAATCTTCTCAGTGTTCCTCACTCAGGGTAGTTCATGAAACCCCCAGCCTCATCAGTCCATCTTCAGTGTATCTGTCCAGGCACACAACGAGGATCTAAGATCCAGGAGAACACGTCTTACAATCAATGAGAGTTCAAAACGCAGGTTGTCTCCCATTGTGTTTCTTTAGAGATCCAGACGGAAGGCACCAAAATAACTGGAGGAATCATCTGCGTTGACCATTGTGGGAGAAGAGACGGAGACAAACAGCTCATCGCCGGCTCTCAGCTCGAACAGTCCTCCCTGGTAAACGGAGTGCAGGGCGTACTCGGCGTCAGGAGCCCAGCATTTGGTCCCCACACCCTTCAGGAGCTGGGAGAACCAAATGGAAGAGGTGAGGTGGTTACAGAATGGTTCCTGTCAGATTGGTTTGGGTAAAGAAGTGATGTTCTACCTGTATGGGGCTTGGATAGGAGGTTTTCTTGTAGACGCACTGCACCAGCTGGTGACTGACACTGCGCTGGTCCCCATCGCTTGCTGCTGGGGACGGATACCGAAAATAAACCTGGAAGTAGACGAGATCAGATGGTTAAAGCAGATAGATATAATTCTTGTGTCCAACATCTTAATCCATTACAGTGGCATAACTGCTGAGTATTATAGGTAAGCACACATTTTTAGCTAAAATGATGAAACCATGACTTTTTGGTGGGGAATTGGTTATGAAATCAGAAGTCTTTTGTGAATTACCCATAGAGGTGCTTACAGTTACAGGAAGAAACTTTTGCATTTGGGACAAATTTCTACAAAACTGTTAAAGCTGGATCTCGAGAGCTTGTTTGTCACTTGAACCTAAGCTGTACAGATTGATCACCTGGGAGTACAGGTAGTAACGCCCGTCCTGAGGCACTCGCAGCTTCCCGTTGCTCAGGCTCATGTTGTGCAGGTGAGCGCCAAAGCTCTGATTGGCCCAGGAACGGACCACGTGACGACAGGACTGGTGGAGACCCGGTGTTGGAATATGGAAGGGCGGGAACCCTGATGAGAAAGATGAGAAGAGAGCAATGTGTGGTAAAATTAAAGAAGTTGCAAGCTGAGCAAAATAAATTATGATGAGAATTTGCCCAAAGCTTGAGTGTCATCGGACTGCAGATGTTGGCAACAAATTGTGAACATCATTTGCACAAGAGTTCCCAAAATGTTTCGAAAGCTTAGCAAGCTTTCAGTGTCAATAAAATTTTGGACATGTTAGAAAAATCTGTTAAGATTTTCCCTAAAATTAGTCATAGGTTCTGTGTCGACAACCCGTCTTGAACCTTTTATACACCTGTGGACAGGTGGATGTATTTAGGTATAGTCTCCGTCTGTACATCTGAAAACTCTCTCTTTGAAGGAGCGTTACCACAGTGTCACCCCCTTTCCCCCCCTAATGTTCCAATAAGGATTCATACATCTCTTGCATCCTACCCATTTCCTGCATGTTGGTGTAAGTGAAGCTATTGTTTCCTTCACATATGTTAGATAAGAGTTTATTGGAAAACAACAGAGGCCAGAAGTCAATGTCTACACTTCCTTATGTGAAGTCCGGGTTGAATGTGTGAACCTCGCCCTCTGCTCTTTCATCTATACACACTTTCCCTCACACACCGGCTCACAAACACTTACATGTTTCTTGCCCTTTGTCAGATTGATGAAAATAACATCCCACAGCCTTTGCCAGAAAGTCAACACCCTTTGGCTTGCACGCAAGTTTCAGATGCAACACAAAAGTCTGGATAACACTCACACAAAAAACACATTCCAAATCTGATGTAGCTACTTGTTTCACAGCACAAAGGCTCCGTTGCTGATTTCTGTTCCATTATTCTTACAAATTTTCTTTTCACCATCAGGTGCATTCACCATTTCAGTCTTCAGGTGCGTGGACGTCTCTTAATAAGAAAGAAGACTTCAATAAACAGGGAGTACTTCTTAAAGAAGCAGTTTCAAAGGGGGTAAGGGGGTCAATCGCTGCGTGAATCTGAACGCATGTGCATGGGGTGAACGGGAAAACTCTTAGCCCAACAGCGTTTTCTAATTTCTAGAGTCAATGATGATTGGAAGTTCCACCCAGCACACCGCAGAGGTGCTTTTGATTCATCACATGCTGATTGAGGAAAAGCTGATCAGCTCAGGCGTCTGACGCTCCTCCCAAAGTTACCAGATGTTCCAACTTAAAATGAAGGTTGAGTTAAGTTCTGCAGACATACGTACATGTTTTCACATGGAAACAGACTTTAATGCAACCTGATGTGTATCAACACAGGTTTTATTGATAAGATTGCACTAAACAGGAAATCTGAGGAATAAACTGTCATTTGAGAGATCCCCATGAACTTAAATCGTTGAAAAAAGCAATTTAAAGAATGATGGGGTCCATGGGAGTTAGCTCCAACATCAGCTGTTTTGCTTTTTAACATTTTTTTTAAATTGTCTATTTGGCACCATTAAGAGCATCATTAATACTTTTAGACAAAGTTTCCCTCCTAGCTGTGATTTGTTATTTCTTCCAAAGTGAATCAACATACTGTTGGTATTTTTGGTTATGCTGTCACCATTTTAAAGAAACGTGCTTGCATAGAATGAACTCGGTTTAGTATCTTTGAATAATTTGTTCAGACAAGTTTTCCACTGCACTGAAGCAACATGATTACTATTCGTCCATTACTCTTGTTTTTGTCACAATCTTCGATTCAGTACTCCACAGCTTTGAAAAAACCAAACAAAAGTACACGGAAACTTGGAGCTCAATCTGAAATAGTGAGCTATGACTTTTGGTCTCAGTAACTTGTACAGCGTCAACAAAATTTGCTAATAATTATGACGTTTCCCACAAACAACAACAAAATGTTTATGTTTCACAATAGAAATATTTATTTATTCAAAGTTTAAATGGACCTAAAAGCATTGGATTTACATGATTGAACTGGCATTTTGACATTTCATAGTTTTTACACAACCACAGATCTGGTTTTAAGGTTTTTGGTAGGGATGCACAATAATATCAGCATGGTATTGGTATCTGTCGATATTAATGATAAAGTTAATTATCGGGCATTGGCCATTTCATCAAAATAAAAGGCACTTTCTATATATATATATATATATATATATAGGCACTGTTTGACGACACAGTGACAAGGATGCCTGCTGCGCCAGCGCATCATGACATCATGTGCGTCGTTGAGCTTAGGTTTGTGAAAATTTACAAATTTGCACTGTTCGAGTGTTGTCATTGTGTTTGAAAGAGTAAATGTAATTAATAAATTTGACATTCAACATAATCCAAGTTAAAGTATTACATAATTTTCAGCCCCCTTTTTGGTATCTGCATTTGGTAGCAGGCCAAATTGACAAAGACCGTGCTGAATAATGTAGTATTTTAATTCCACAGCAGAGAAAGCTATGTAGTCTCTGTAAGTAGGTCTAGGGGAAAAATATTGGTATTGGTATCGGTTAACGGCCAAATAAGTTTTAACATATCGGCCAAAAATCCAATATCGTGCAGCTCTAGTTTTTGGGAATAAGAGGAAGTACACTCAATCATCCAGGTAAATAAATCACAAAAAAATTAAATCATGTCATCTGGACAGTTTCTTCTGGACAAGAAACTGCCCAGATGACATGATTTAACTTTTTTGTGTTTTGGGGAATAGAACAACAGAATTTTCAAATCAGCATGATGCTGTCACACACTTTAACTATTGAGCTTTCAAAACATTCTAAAAAATTATGAACAAAATGATTCTATTTCCACAAACTTTACACTTCTCTTTCTGTTCTTACATCAGCACGTAGGTGTTTTTGTCTTCTTTTGCTCATGTGTCTCTCGCTAGTTGATGGTTTAATTCCAAGTACACAGAAACTGGCCTTGACTTTCACTGTATCCAAGTTCAGAATTTTTTCTTCATAACTTTAAGTGAAGGAACATTTTTAACTTGTATCCCTCACATAAAACATTGTAGACATAAATATTTACATGTGTGACTATCAGACCCTTCTGCCACGTATGGGTGACTGTTTAAGGCTTTCTTTCTACTCTGTGTTTCTGTATGCCTGTCTTACTTAAAGCGCATCAAGAAGTGAGAGACACAGGTGTGCAGTTACCATGGTGACCAAAGTGAACCTCTGGCAAGAACTTGGTTCCGTTTACACTATTTATACAGATGTCGACATTTTGTCAGCCTAGATTACAAAATGAAGTCCCAAATTATTTTTAGGCTTTGGAGATAAAAGTTGAGTTGTTTTTTGAGAAGTAGCTGAACTGGCACCCTTCAACATTACTTCAGAATTGCTATGGTACTTTTCCTTAGCATGTGCTAAACTTAAGGGTGTTTTTTTTGAACTCCCATGCACCAACCAGTAATAAAATTTAATTTCATCTAAAATTTTCTGTAATCTGTCCCCCAGAGAACAGTCTTTGGTTTGCCTTACCTTGAGAGCTGGTGTCTCTGAGAGTCAGGTGGGCTGACGGCCTTTGGGCCACAGAGCTCAGGAACTTTGAGTTGTTGAAGGTGCGAGGCATTGTTCTCGCTTCTAAGAGAGGAAAAAGACCAGGAAAGATCAAAACTGAAGCTGTAGATGAATAAAGGTGTATGTGTGAGTGAGGGAGAACAAAATGATGCTCACCGATGAATGTTTGTTTGGAGATTATATTCTCCGTCACCTGAAAGGAGATGTGAACACAAGGGTCACTCTCATATATCCTAACAAGTTTTGTGTCAAAAATAGTGGAACATGTTTAAGATTATAAACAAAACAAGAAGTCAATACCTGGCAAACCAAATTAAATGCAAAATTAAACTGAAACAAATTGTTTAATCTTTCTTGCCAACCTTTAACTGATTTTGAAGCTTAACACAGAATTCTGAGTCAGATAAAATGGGACGGGTTAGAACATCTGAGAAACATTTGTGACAGAAAGAAAAACTTAATACTGTCCCTACTTTTTTTTAATGAATTGCATGAACTAGGCCTGTCACGATAACACATTTTGCTGGGCGATTAATTGATTCCGAAATTATTGCGATAAACAATAATATTGTTTGAAAATTGACAATAATTAGTAATTTTTGTCAAATTAAAGAAGAAATGTTGGTGAATTTGTTTTGTGTGTAGTACATTTTTCGACCACCGGACGACAGTATAAGACTGTTTGAAACGAAGGATGGATAGTGAGGGAGCGAGCAGCGTGTCTCTTTAAGAAAAATGGGAGGGAGGCCCCTTGACGTAACATGGGCGGTCTCTCCTTCCTTTATTCAAAATGGCGGACGCTCAGTGTGGTTTGAGCTCTTTAGCATAGCATTTTTCACACAAAGCTTTTAATAAAAAATCAGTGAACAAGTTCTCAGCTTCTTTTTGCAGAAAAAAAACAGCTTTTTACATGAAGGCTCGAGTTTCAACCGTGAATTTTGGAGCTTCGACAAGACAGATTTTTTGTCCTGAGGTCGGCCTGTTAGCTTAGCTCGTAGCTTAGCTCCTCAGCTTAGCTGCTTTTAACAATCCAAAAACGCGATTTTAAAGAGAAAAGAGAAAGGGAGGAGTCAGTGAAGAGCACCGGAGTTGAGCTTTTTGTCATCCGTTGTCTTCAGTAGAAAGAGAGAGACACGAAGAAATGATAAATCCGATAAATAAAAATTATGTTGATCATTTTCATTTATCATGCAATTAATTGATTTATTGTTTATTGCGACAGGCTGAGCTTGAACTAAAAGTAACGTTAAAAATGCTCAAAACTTTTAACATTTAACATATTTGTCTTTATACTTCTTTCTTTTAAACCCCTATTGTGCAGCCTTAGAAAACCAGCAGATTTTAGCCTCACCTTTGTTTCTTTATTCCTTTAACAAAGGTGTTGAAGTTTTTATACTAGACTGTCTGGGAGACAGAATTAACATTTTATGGCCAAAACATTTTTTGGCAGCTGTTATTGCTTCTCCTTTTCAGATGAGTTGTAAATTAATGCAACATGGTAGCTTTGTTTGTATAGCCCATTTCAGCAACTTAACTCAAAATTGCTTTACATAAACAATTAAAAATGTGACAACGTACAAAAGAACAATAAAAACATATAGAAAGATAAATAATTAAAAAAAACAAGGATTATGGGCTGTAATCCCCTGGTGAGGGAGTGATGTAGATCGGTGTGTCATCGGCATAGTTGTGATACTTAAGGGTTAAGCTAGAGGGAGTATGTAGATGTTCAACAGAAGGATGGAACCCTGGAGAACTCCACATGTAACTTTATTCAACTTAGATTTGCATTGACTCATTGTCACAATGGAGCCCCTGTCCACGAGGTACAATTTGAGCCAGTTTAGAGCTGTGCCAGAAGTACCAACCCAGTTTTCCAGTTGGCAGAGTGGGTGTAAAAACTCCTCCTAGTTTTAAAACACAAGTCTTGTCCAGTGTTAATCATGTTTTAGCCAACTGCAAAACTTCCTCCTTTGCTGGCTTACAACACAGATCTCATATACCCTGATACATGCTCAATAATTCAAGTAGATGAATCTAACAACTGAGACTGAGTTTGATGCAGCTCCTCAGACTGAAGAAGTCTTTTGGTTAAAAAATGAATCGTTTCATGACTCCACTCTGGACCCAGTGTTTCTTGACCAAGACACAGATCCTCTACTTCGGTTTCTGCTCCATTTATCCTTCTTGATTTTTTTTTTGTGGACACAACTGCACCAAAAATACAGACAGTATTTATGCAAATACTTTCAGATACACTTCGGCTGAATCCTATTTCACTCCTTCTTCTTCTTTTAGGTCTTTCCCTAATTTTAGGGGGCTGAGATGGTGTAGGGGCAGGACAGCCGACTCAGGACCCGAAGGCCCTGGGTTCGATCCTCGGTCATTGCACACCTTGTGGTGTATCTGAGCAGGACACCCTATCCCCAGTTGCTCCCCGGGCAATTTCAATAGCTGCCCACTGCTCCACCTAGTGGTGATTGGGTTAAATACAGAGAGCCAATTTCGCCATTGTATAGGAACATACAATGATGACATAATATATTATTATTATTATGTTTTTTAAAGGTAAGGGTGTCCAGATACTTTAAGCAGATTTGTCAGAGACACACTTTGAACCATATGCAAATTTGAGTTTAAGAAAATAACCCCCAAACTGAAATGTAAGTATCAAGGTTCATGCTCAGTAATCCAGGTAGAAAAATCCAACAAAGTTGTCAGGTCCTCTGGACGGTTTCTTTTTGTTGAAACGTTTCGTCTTTCATCCAATACACTTCATCAGTCCAAGGAGCTACAACAAACCCAGTCTTATAAATAGCACCTTCACATAGTGGGTCAACCAGTTTGATGGTGCTCAGATGCTTTCTGGAGTCCACCCTCTCCCGCGCCCACTCGTTTGAGGCAATGGTAAGTATTTTCTCAGTTAAATATACTTGTTAATGTTTTCTAGCACAAAATCTTTATTTTAATATTAAGTTTGCAGTACTTTGATGTATTAAGTTAGGTACTATTGTTTACTATTCGTAAAATATGGCAAAAATAGCATCACATTTCTTTGAAAAACATAATTGTTGCCTCACCAAATATTGTAACGTCCAGGTATTCTAATGTACTACGTTTGGTATTACTGTTGTTTTTCCCTAAAAGGATAAAAAAAAAATATCTTGTTATATGTGAAGTTTGTTCTTGACAGCTATTTTTAAACTCCAGTAATAAGCATGATGACGTAGCATCTGTTTACGTAGAAGGAACTGACAACTAGTGATGTTGTATCAACCGCTTGTCACATCGAAATATTGTAGCCTCTGTTCTTTGTGGCATCAAATCAAGCACCGGAACGAAGGAGAAACTTTAAGAAACTCAGCTTGACCTTTCTGTGCTAACACATAATTCTCCTCTCTGACTCACACACACACTAAATGTGGCTTTGGCACCAACTCGGCTCGGTCATTTATTTCCCCCTAACACCAAGTTGTGTTCACTTTTTATCTTTCTCCTTATTTCTTGTCTTGTTTCTCTGTCCTTATCCCTTTTATTAAACTTCTTTCATGTTTTCATTCTTGCCCTGTTTTTTACAGACAAAACCTCTGTTCATTTGCACATGGCCAGTCCTCAGAACATATGAAGCGAGACCCCCCCCCAAACCCCCTGTGGTTCTAATCCTCACTAATTAATTTGCTGCAAAGCCACAAAACTCTCACTATGTTGAATTTCACCTCACTTTTTGGACGCGATGTGTTTTTCTTGGCAGCGGCTCAGTTTCTCCTGCGCTGCACACTCAACTCAACCTGCAAATTGAATAGGATCACTCGGGGGGGTTGGTGAGTTTGTGCCAGTGTAAATGAACCCCTCTACCACCTCTAATGTGTACACCCTATATTCTCTAAGGAAACACAAAGCGTAGCGTGCACTCCGCCTCTCTGGCTCGTCAAGTAGCGTGCCTGTCCCAACTTTATGCTCCATACGACCTGAAAGCAGAAAATTGCTCTCACACAAACACTCATGTCTCACACTTGAACAAAGAAAATTGCCAACAGATTTTTCTGTCCTGCGTGTGGCTGCATCTGAGCAACAACAACAACAACAACAAAACAGGGATCTTTCTCAAGCAGAGGTCTACTAAAACTGTTCTGGGTCATTCCAGAAGTGCGTATTTCAAAAAGATATATAACCTCAACGTATCTGCTGCGCTCAAGAAGAAAACGCTGTGATAAGAAGCTATCAGATGGAGTGAAATCAGCTGTATCGCCTGCATGCATAATTTATAACGTAGAAGTGGTGTAAAGAGTTCCCCGACCTGCCAAATGTATAAAGGTTGTCACGTAGAGTTACAACCCGTCTGCAGTCTGTTCCCTTCTTACTGTTTGCATCTGGTTTCACGTACGTCGAGACATTATTAGATTTGCTGTCAGTCGCGCTCCAGATTAATTGCAGGCACAAATTTAAAAAGACATAAATTTCAACGTTTGGTGAGAAGTTTCAGTCTGCTTTGAAGTTATGGCTTCCTGAGGAAGATTTCTATGAAAACGAAGAGGAAAATAACCCAAATACTGTCACAATGAAATGTGGTTTTCATTTCTAAGAAACTTATTTTTTTTAAGTTAAAATAATTTGTTGCACTACATACAGTGTCTTTTTGCGATTTGGGGCAGCTGTGGCTGAGTGGTTACAGCAGCCCAATGGGAGAGTTGGGGGTTCAATTCCACCAGTAGTCACATGTTGAAGTGCCCCTGGGCAAGACACTGAACCCCTCATTGCCTCTGATGTGTGTCCCATCAGTAAATGAATGTGATCTAAAGTAGGGGTGCACCGATTTATCGGGCCTGATTTCCTTCATTTGGGGAAATCAGAGATCGGATGAAATTTGCATGAGAAACCGATTTGATAGATTTTTTGTAGTTTTAACAACAATTGTCTAAACTTCATTTATATTTCAGAGCACTACTTCATGGCCAGTTAAAACAATTTTGTACTGTTTCTAGGATATTGATCAAGGGTATGTTTTTCAATGAAATAAAATAGAAGATGCATTGTGACCTTATAACACCTGACGGTGTCGCTTATAAAACAAAATCGGAATCGGCAGATCAGGCTTTTTAGAGATCGGTGATCGGCCAGAAAACTGCAATCGGTGCACCCCTAATCTAATGAACTGATTATTCTCTATA